AAAAGTGGAGAGCCATGATCGGCTGGTCCTGAAGGGACACGGCACATAAAGATCGAGGAAGGGAAAGCGCATGACACCTGGCGGGCTTGAGCAAGGGGATGACAGAACGTGGTCTGGGGTGGTGGCAGAGGGACGAAACTTATTGAGGGCCGCAAGGAATAGGAAAGGGAGAGCCATGATCGGCTACGTCCTGAAGGGACACGGCACATAAAGATCGAATGGAGGGAAGGGAAAGCAACGCATGACACCTGGCGGGCTTGAGCAAGGGGATGACAGAACGTGGTCTGGGGGTGGTGGCAGAGGGACGAAACTTATTGAGAGCCGCAAGGAATAGGAGAAGTGGAGAGCCATGATCGGCTACGTCCTGAAGGGACACGGCACATAAAGATCGAATGGAGGGAAGGGAAAGCAACGCATGACACCTGGCGGGCTTGAGCAAGGGGATGACAGAACGTGGTCTGGGGTGGTGGCAAGGGACGAAACAGAGCCGATCAACGTCCTGAAGGGAATAGGAGAAATGTGGAGAGCATGATCCTGGCGTCCTGAAGGGACACGGGGGGTGATAAAGATCGAATGGAGGGAAGGGAAAGTGGAGGACACCTGGCGGGCTTGAGCAAGGGGATGACAGAACGTGGTCTGGGGGTGGTGGCAGAGGACGAAACTTATTGAGAGCCGCAAGGAATAGGAAAAGTGGAGAGCCATGATCGGCTACGTCCTGAAGGGGACACGGCACAAAAGATCGAATGGAGGGAAGGGAAAGCAACGCATGACACCTGGCGGGCTTGAGCAAGGGGATGACAGAACGGGTCTGGGGTGGTGGCAGAGGGACGAAACTTATTGAGGCCGCAAGGAATAGGAGAAGTGGAGAGCCATGATCGGCTACGTCCTGAAGGGACACGGCACATAAAGATCGAATGGAGGGAAGGGAAAGCAACGCATGACACCTGGCGGGCTTGAGCAAGGGGATGACAGAACGTGGTCTGGGGGTGGTGGCAGAGGGACGAAACTTATTGAGGGCCGCAAGGAATAGGGAGAAGTCGGCTACGTCCTGAAGGGACACGGCACATAAAGATCGAATGGAGGAAGGGAAAGCAACGCATGACACCTGGCGGGCTTGAGCAAGGGGATGACAGAACGTGGTCTGGGGTGGTGGCAGAGGGACGAAACTTATTGAGGGCCGCAAGGAATAGGACCATGATCGGCTACGTCCTGAAGGGACACGGCAAAAGATCGAATGGAGGGAAGGGAAAGCAACGCATGACACCTGGCGGGCTTGAGCAAGGGGATGACAGAACGTGGTCTGGGGGTGGTGGCAGAGGGACGAAACTTATTGAGGGCCGCAAGGAATAGGAGAAGTGGAGAGCCATGATCGGCTACGTCCTGAAGGACACGGCACATAAAGATCGAATGGAGGGAAGGAAAGCAACGCATGACACCTGGCGGGCTTGAGCAAGGGGATGACAGAACGTGGTCTGGGGGTGGTGGCAGAGGGACGAAACTTATTGAGGGCCGCAAGGAATAGGAGAAGTGGAGAGCCATGATCCTACGTCCTGAAGGGAACAGGAAGATCGAATGGAGGAAGGAAAGCAACGCATGACACCTGGCGGGCTTGAGCAAGGGGATGACAGAACGTGGTCTGGGGGGTGGTGGCAGAGGGACGAAACTTATTGAGGCCGCAAGGAATAGGAGAAGTGGAGAGCCATGAACGGCTACGTCCTGAAGGGACACGGCACATAAAGATCGAATGGAGGGAAGGAAAGCAACGCATGACACCTGGCGGGCTTGAGCAAGGGGATGACAGAACGTGGTCTGGGGGTGGCAGAGGACAGAAACTTATTGAGGGCCGCAAGGAATAGGGACCATGATCGGCTGGCGTCCTGAAGGGACACGGCACATAAAAGATCGATGGAGGGAAGGGAAAGCAACGCATGAGGCTTGAGCAGCAAGGGAGGACGAAACTATTGAGAGCCGCAAGGAATGGAGAGCCATGATCGGCTACGTCCTGAAGGGACACGGCACATAAAAGATCGAATGGAGGGAAGGGAAAGCAACGCATGACACCTGGCGGGCTTGGAGCAAGGGGATGACAGAACGGTCTGGGGTGGTGGCAGAGGGACGAAACCTATTGAGAGCCTTAGGAAAGAGCCATGATTGAGGGAGCCGCAAGGAATAGGAAAAGTGGAGAGCCATGGGTCCTGAAGGGACACGGCACAAAAGATCGAATGGAGGGAAGGAAAGCAACGCATGACACCTGGCGGGCTTGAGCAAGGGGATGACAGAACGTGGTCTGGGGGGTGGTGGCAGAGGGACGAAACTTATTGAGAGCCGCAAGGAATAGGAAAAGTGGAGAGCCATGATCGGCTACGTCCTGAAGGGACACAGCACATAAAAGATCGAATGGAGGGAAGGGAAAGCCGCATGACACCTGGCAGGCTTGAATGACAGAACGAGAGGACAGAAACTGGAGCCGCAAGGAATAGGAGAAGTGGAGAGCCATGATCGGCTACGTCCTGAATGGACACGGCACATAAAGATCGAATGGAGGGAAGGAAAGCAACGCATGACACCTGGCGGGCTTGAGCAAGGGGATGACAGAACGTGGTCTGGGGGTGGTGGCAGAGGGACGAAACTTATTGAGAGCCGCAAGGAATAGGAGAAGTGGAGAGCCATGATCGGCTACGTCCTGAATGGACATGGCACATAAAGATGAAGAATCACGCATTAGTGAATTTCCTTACTGAAAATTCGTTTTTAAATAGAAGGCGAATAAGAATCAGTTAACAGAATAAGATGAGAATTATCATAAAAGTGATTAGACAACGAAATGGAGGGAGGACACAGAAAGAAGAAAAGATAACTGTTCCTTTGTTTAAATATTTATGAGTAACATTTTCTTTAAGGAACTGCTTATAAACATACTTTGAACCTGTTTTCATTGTCCCAAATCGAAGGATTCATTATGATTTTGAACAGGTCTGAATCGAAATTAATTTATTAGTTTTACAACTCTTTCCAATAACAACGCGATTTTGGCTTTTCAATCATCTTCATTGATTCTGAACAGAGTTTTATAAGGAAAAGTAAAAAATTTGTTTTTTAATCATTTAACAATTTAATTCTATTAGAAACATATTTTCCAGACATTTATCGTTAACAACCATAAAACCTGACTAAATCTTGTTATGTTGATTGCAATAACAGTTGCTTCTTGTGTAACATTGCTGTTTTAAACTACCCAGAACAAGTTATGAGAGTTGAAACGTCTATTTTTAGTATTTCAAATACTTTATATATATATATATATATATATATATATATATATATATATATATATATATATATATATATAAGCATATCGCCCCAAGCAAGGCGGGAAGCCAGTGGCACGCAAGGGGTTACAGAGAATTTGGAGAGCAGATGGGAGTGATAGAGGAAAGGATGAGGAGAAGGATAGTGGATAGATCAAGGCAACTGGGGATGTCGATTGACATTACATTTGAAAAGTTGGATATTATAGCTATCAGGGAAACAAGAAAAGGAAAGGGAGTTCCACAGGCGAGAGGTGCGAGATATGAAGCTATTGGAGTAGAAGAGACTGCTACATTTAAAAGTTTCTACAGTGTAAGGGTGAGAGCGGGATGCCAGTCTCGGAGGGCGCTTGAATTCATGAAATCTGGGAACCAGTGAAAGCAGTTCATCGGAGCAATTACCATGAAAGTATTTGTAAAAATACAGAGAGAGGCGACGGTACGTCTGTGAGAGAGCGACTGAAGACGAGATGCCAGATCAGGACCAATTATATATATATATATATATATATATATATATATATATATATATATAGTAATAATATAATATGGTAATACGCATGGAATTTACAGGAGGATATAGATCTATGTCAAAAGAGAGAGCAAAATTATTATTAAATAAAGAATATCAAACATTTAAAATCCCATAGGTAATAATTTTTACTTCATAAGAGCTGTAGAAAGGCAATTCTCAATCTTCAAGACCTACAAACAAAATCACAAATATAGCAATATTTTTTGATTCTAACCCGGAGTATTTTTTTCCATTTTATTTGTGCTTTGTTTGCACAATTGAGGGGAGTGGTGACCACACTGGTGCAAAATGCCCTTACTAAAATGAGGATGATATATATATATATATATATATATATATATATATATATATATATATATATATATATATATATGTGGTGGACTCTCCAATCGCATTGGAAGTATGAGGGTCAAGCATCTCAGTTCCTAGACACCAGCACATATGATTTGATTGTAGTGGTGAAGGTTCTGTGCGAAACCATCCACACTTTTTGAAGGGCCGAATACTGAGACCTGGTGCACTACGTGCCACAAAGTTTTCAAACGACCCTCCACAGGTTTTGAATTCAGAGTTGTCCTTCTCTTAGACCAGTTACCATCCGAGGCTATAGAACACAGTCCGTCCTGCTATTTACCCATAGGTGGAGGGAGAAGAAGAGGATTCATACTTTCCTCAAGGATATTAACACGTAAGTGAATGTAATGGATTCAACTGGAATTCGAACTCGGTTCTCCGATTCCTCAATACGAGCGGCTGTCCATTATTCCTCTGGGAAAATCTAGAAGAGGATTCATACATTTCCCAAGGGTATTAACACGTAAGTGAACGTAATGGATTCAACTGGAATTCGAACTCGGCTATACCTCAATCGATTTTCCTTCGTACCTCACATATATATATATATATATATATATATATATATATATATATATATATATATATAACGAAAATAATTATAACTATTTTAGTAATTTCATATTTATTTATATTTTTAATTTTTTTAAATTAAGTCTGTAGGATTTTATGTGCTTGACATTACTTTCCTCCGTTTGGAGCCCTGAAATATTTTTTTTTAAATACATTTGCACAGAAATTGGCGGTCTCTGGTTCCATGTTTGAACAGCATCGAAAGATCGCCTGTGTCCAAAAGATTACTGATGACAGCCGTAGCCGCATCGAAACCGCTGGAATATTTATGTGGAGACGGCCTTCAGTGTAAGTATGACATTAACATTTGTCATCTTCGATTCATCACCATCATTGTCATACATTGCACGTTCTTTGGCGCACAAAGGACTTTTTACCAATTCTGATGATGACCGTCCTTATTCTATTCTCTGATATCTATTACCAGTAAAATCACATATGTCCGTTTTTCCGACTGCGATTAACTATTAACCTTTTGCTCCAACTATTAACCTCTCTTAGTGCTATATATTCTGCCCAGCTTGCCTGGTATCGACAATATTTTGATTACTCCATTTAATAGCAGCAGACAAAAAGCATTTTGCGAAGTTTAATTATCTATTTGTAATATTAAAAAAAGTAAAAATATTAAACAGTTTATGTGTTCAAAACGATTATATTATCGATTACAAAAGTCATAATAATAAGTAAAAGTTGAATGATTTTCGACAATAATTGCTTCCAATTGACAGATAGGTGGGTCGGTTGTATCCCAAATGCACTTCCATTCTTGTGATACGTCGGCAAAATAGATCGTAGTATCTATGCCCCCATCAAGATCTTCATTGAAATTTTCACTCTGATACCTTGTAACATATTGGAAATTAAAAAAAAAAACAAAAAAAAACAAGAAAAGCCCTTCAAAGAAAAACATTCCCGGTTCAAAATATGATATTAAAAATCAGCTTATAACTAAATTAAAAAAATGTTATTCAACCAATGAAAAGCTTTAAAAAGAAATTAAATAAATACATCTATTGGAGTCTCATTTATGGAAGCCGATCTTATAAAATGACACTTAACGGCAAGGTTACGTACAGAGTGATACAGAAGTTCAGAAGACATTTGACACGCGGTTTCTTTCTGCTCTAATCACAATGGCAAGTAGAAACCAGACACAAAAAGCAGCATAAAATGAAACTGTCTTAACTGATACCCGACAGTAGTAAGAAAGAACTTTTCAAGTCGACTTTCCTTCGTACCTTATTTCTTTTTTAATGAAACTATTCAAGCAACTAATGTAAATAAATAAATTTGTTAATTGTGATATGTCGATGTAATTTTTTTTCTGTTTTTGCCACCCAACTTCAAATATCCGAAATGTTTAACTCAAGACCTATTACCCAACCTTTGCGGGCGTACACCAAAGACTCAAAAAGTAGTGGCCTTTTTTCATTTAAAACCCGAAACTCTGTAACTGTCCCACCACTGGTAAATTTAGCACAAAAATCTCTTGCTACTGCAGCCCCTAAAAATTGTTGATTTTATTTGTATTTTTTTCACTGTCACGTAGGCGATCATGTCTTTTCATAGCTTGCTTTTCTTTGTTATCTGTGAATTGCATTCTTGGAAAAGATAATGGATTTGTTTCCTTTTAGTTTGGAGTTTTCTTTCTCTTAGATTGGTTGCCATCCAAGACAAGAACTCAGTTTACTCTGCTATTTAATTCATTGCTTTGAAAAATGACGAATTCATGCTTTTCTAAAAAGTATTATTGTAAAAAAGTGAACGTGACAGACGGGACCGGATTTTGAACTCGGCTCGCCGATTTCCCATTCTGCATCGGCAGCCGTTACCAACTGCACACGGGTTAACTTTTCTTTACCTTTCTTCCCAGTCAAACCCTTGTAATCTGCATAGGGTTCCTATTCATGTGAGAGATACTGACTGATTATTTATGGTAACGATAGAAATTACCGAATTGTTAAAGAATTCACATGTCCCTTAATGAAATGCTTTCCTGATCAAACCAAATTATTCAATAATCATATTGGACATACCACAACATGCCTATCAAGAAGACTCACGTTGCATCTCTTTGTCCATAGCTCAGTTAGGGCCCACTGAAACACAATCAGAAACCTAGCAAACTCCATCTGCAATAAACTCGTAGAAAAATGACTATAAATGTCTCATTCACATGTAAAAAAGGCTAAAAATACGAGAAACATTAATAATAAAAAAGAAAAATCCCAAACTCAATGATAGCAACTATGAACATGGCCACAACATTCTGACCGTGTTTGGAAAATAAAATACCCGCCTACTACTACAGATACACATATATAAAGATGTACGCATTCAGTTAAAAATAATTAAAAAATATGCATATTAATGGATAACAGAATAGCTGAAAGGGCTCGGATATATAGAACATTGGACAGTTTTTTACACAATTGATGTCCAGAAAAGAAAACACTTATACGAATCCAAGAAAAATGGAATAAGAAAATTTGATTGATGATTTATTGTCACAGTGGCGAAAAATGCCGACCTATTCTAAATGGAAACAGAAGGCTGTAAAAAGAGAAAGAAACTTTGGTCTAATCAACTAAAAGACTAAAGAAAGAAATCTCCCCCACCAAAAAAAAAAAGAATTCGACAGAAGGCAGGCCGGCGTGTTTCCATCAGACACAATCCACCGCTGGCAGGGAAAATGTTTGCGATTCAATTGAATACAAATGCCACCATTCACTGTACAAAGAATGGAGCACTATTAACGATGGGAAGAAAAAGAAAATTCAAAAAAAGATTTCAGCAACAGAAAAATTCAATAAGTCATGACGGATCACATGCAGCTTACGCCTGACTATGCCAAAGAAAGAAACGGAGAAAAAAAGAAAAAAATAGTTACTGATGAATGAAAAGAAAATTAAAGAATAAATGGCAAAGAAAAGTGCGGGACGGGCAGGTGATTCAGTGTTGGAGATAACACGGAAATAATAGGGTTAGGCTACTGTAAATGGCGTTAAATTGTTGAAAGGTAGACATATTTTAAATTCTCGAATACAGCCAGTGTATTGTGGCCGTGTTCGTAGTTGAAGCTGTTCAGTATTTTTTGTTTTGTTTTATTTTTTATGATAAAGGCTTCAGTTATTTTCGGATGCCTTTTTTGGTGTTAGACGAGCGTATCATAATTGTGATCTCAACGAATGTGCTAAAACCTAGAATAAAAAGACAACCAGACAGCAGACATCATTCTCAATAACATTAGACTGGTGAAAGTTTCTTGGAGGGAGATTTATTTACTATAAAATACAGTGGCTTATTGTTCCGGTACTGGATCTTTTTTTTTCCCATGGCAGATGTTCAAATGAGCGCTCCAACAGATCAAACCTTTACAGCGAGGACATGCCAAGCTACTTGCACGACGTCAAATCATTGTCAGTTGTTAAGAAGAAAGTTGAAAGCTTCTTCCCAAGAACTGCTACTTTGTTGAACAGACTCCCACGTTGTTGCTTCCATAATTGCTACAGTTTTAATAATTTCAAGTAAATGATCAGTTGTTATCTATCTATCTATCTATCTATCTATCTATCTATCTATCTATCTATCTCCTTTTTCATTCATATCCCACACTTCACCCATCATTACCATTTTACCAGTAATCCTCTACCTTGAGTGGCTCTCGAGTTTTGGGTTGGGTGGATTCTAGTCAATAAGAGTAGATAGGTTTGCCTATAGCCCGGTTCACACACCTCCTCTGCCTTTTTAATGGGAGTAAAGGTTTAAACTCTTGTTCCCTGTTGAGGATTGGGTTTCCAGTCCCTTCTAAAGTCTCTTCATTCTCTTTCGTTTCCAGTAGCCACCCCCACCACCTGCATCTTAGTGGCATTATCACTTTGCTTGTGATGAACTGATAAAATAAAACTCTGGAACACTGAGATGAAATTATACACGCGGTTTTTAACAGTAAAAAACTCTAGTCTAAAATCCCTTATTTCCAGATTTGTTACATAAAAGAAATTAAGAAGAAACAGACAAAAGAAAGGTCGACTTATACACGAGATATATTGACAACATGACGCGTTTATTTCAATTTTACTTTCTTCAGCTTACCTGAACACCTACAAATGCATGAACGAAGAGAAGACGAAGAATGGGATTCAGAGATGCGCCGGTAAAGGTATCAAGTCTATTAATCAATTCCCAGCCAGCCCTGAAGTAAAATTTGGTGTCTGCAGGTAAAGATCGCTTTCTCTTCAACCATTCATTTCTAAAAGAAATACTGTCGCATTAATTTAAGGAGAAATCCGATAAAAAACAAACGGTAAATTTGCAGATTAAGCTCCACACACCAACTGAAATTAATATTTCCAGAAAATTTCCATTTTGGTGTAAATTTGAACGCTTATTTGTAAAATAGCAGTAAAAGTCTGCGGAAATCTACAGTTTTGGAGTTATCGACAATAAAAATTCGGCCTCATTCGCGTCGGGTCCGTTCGCCATTACTGGCATTGTTTACATACGTTTGCATCGATTAGTCATGCTCGGAAGCTTACTTAGTTAACGGCCTTTTTACTGATCTTCCCATCTTCTTACTCGTCTCAATTACTGCGCCATACCAAAAAGGAGTCTTAAGACACTTTTGAAAGTGAAGCTTTTATTGAATTTTTTCTTAAAATTAATAAAAAAAATTTGAAATTTAAAATTGTTCATGTTATTATTAATTCCTTTTAGCATTTTTTTTTATTTTGTAAATAATCACGATCTTTTAAAATTTCGTGCCAAGTTTTCTCATTGCGTGCGCAATAATCAAGACAAGTGAAGCTTCCGCGCATGAGTATTCAAGGCAAACGTATGTAAACGTCAGTATTGGCAACCGGGCTGTAGCTACGACGCGAATAAGGCCGAACTTGTATTGTCGATAACTACTAAACGATAGATTTCCGCAATCATTTACTGTTACTTACTATGGAACTGGAAGTCGGCACTCCGGTTTCAAATTGTTAGGCGTTATGCATTTACACCACACGCACATCCAAGCTTACAGCCCCTGGTATTCCCAAGCGGTCACCCGTCTAGGTACTGGCCAGGCTCGACATTGCTTAACTTTGGTGATCATATAAGAACCAGTGTTTTAATGTGATATGTCTGTAAACTCTTTATACCAATATCATATCGAAGCTTAGAGCACCTGGTATTCCCAAGTGGTCACTCGTCTAGTTACTGACCAGGCTCAACATTGCTTAACTTCGGTGATCATACGAGAACCGGTGTTTCAATGTGATATGCAAGTTTACAGCACCTGGATTTAGGAATTCCAAATGCGGTAAGCTTGGATGTGCGGGTGGTGTAATGGATAACAGCTCGGTATTGGAGATCTGAGAGCCAAGTTCCAATTCCAATCGGAGTCGTTATATTTACTTACGCAAAAATACCCTTGGGGAATGTATGAATCCATTTCTTCTCTCCCTCCCCCAGCTATGGGTTAATTTGTAGGTTTTATATTAGTAAATTATTATTATTTTCAAAACATTCTTACAATTTAAAAATATTTTGTGGATTTAAATAATTCATAGAAAGGTTGATAAACTGTAAAAAACATATCAATCAATCAATGTTCTGTCCATGGTATTTTAGTATTTGTTAGTAGAACCACATCAGTATCACTTCAGGTTTCTTCTTCATCTGTGAAGATATTGTCCTGCATTTACTGCCATATAAAAGATTAGATATTATATAGCAGTTCAGTACTCTTTTATTGTTCAACGAGATATTGGCAAACTTGGACCTCCATGCCTGCCAAAAACAAAGCGTCAAAAGTACGGTTTTTCCATTGACACCGCTATTATTTTAACTACCTTCACTCCTCAGTGATGTTGATTGTTTTAAAAAGCAATGATTAGAATTGTAATAAAACATAAACATCCGATGAAAGTGAATTTATACATTTTCTTTTCTTTTTAAAAATTGACAACAAAAATAATAAACACTATTTATTAGATTGTTTATTTACAAGAATAAATGTATATTTACAGCATTTTAATACAATTAATAGAATTAAAACTAATGCCATGCATTATTTATCATTTATAAAAAATAAATATGAAAACAATTTTTTATTCATAAATTTATAAACATTTACTAAATTATTGAAATATTTAAACCAACTATAAGGAAATCCTTATTTACCATTTTATAAACTTCGAATCAGTTAACAATTAGCCGATGATTTGTCAACCATATCAATAAAGAATCTAATAAATAGTGTTTATTATTTTTGTCAATTTTCAAAAACAAAGAAAATGTATAAATTCACTTTCATATGTTTAGGTTTTATTACAATTGTAATCATAGTATTTTAAAACAATAAACATTGCCGAGGAGGGAAGATATTTAAAATAATGGCGAACTGTTCTTTTGAAACAGCGTTTTTTTTCCAGGTACGAAGGTCTAAGTCACTCTAAAATTTTATAATTTTAAGTTTATGGAGCAATATTAGATATATAAAATTTTATAATTTTAATTTAAAGCACATTAAAATTGCCGTGAAACTAAACTAGGATTTTAACAAACATTGTAAAATATGTATAAAATAGACTTCTTTTAACTCTGTTTATTTCTTCATCTTATATCTGCTCTTGTCCCTTTATAGTAACGTTTTCGGATATTTCAGGCATTTAAATGAAAGCATGGATTGTGTAGCCAAATATGCGGCAACGTGTGGACAGGAAGCAGCCATATTTGCAAAGGCTTTTCTAGAGAAGAACTTTGAAACAACGCGAACAAAACTTGAGTGCAGCGGTTACAGCCAGATTAGCAGCTGGAGTTATAGCGTCATGACGACAACGACTGGTAAGTCAGGCAATAATTTCATATAGGTACCATCAAAAACTTGCAAAGAAAAAAGAGGATACACGTTAAAACATAATAAAATCAAAATTTTATTAACAATATTAGTATTGTTTATAAGCCAGCCATAATTACCGGCCATTTAGTGCTACGAAAAATAATGGTTTCATGTTCACCAAGTACTAATATTAGCATTAGTGTAGTCATTGATACACTAATACTGAATGTGACTATGGAAAGACCAGATACATGCCCGTAATAAACAAAACATTTAAGACAAATATAACATAGATATGCATGTTAAAATAATTTCCACATGTCCCAAAGTAAATGATTATTCACACAGTTTAAAAGACAAGAATGTTTGACAGAAGAAACGAACAAAGAAATAAACATACCAACCTTATGTTCCTTGAACGTCCTTAGCAAGGTGAATGAAAATGACTTTTCATTCTACGTTAGGCTGTGTACGTGTTGTCCATTTTCCATGTGTGTGGACACCCCGGTGGTTAAGAAGGTATTAACCAGTCCCCAACCGGAAACAAAAAAAAAAGGGAATTCTCCTCTCTAAATCGGCTGAACTCCCATGCATTAAATCCTAGGAAAAACAACTGTTGTCCCCCTACAACATCTTTGGATTATTCTCAAGAGGGGAAATCAAAGGATTTTTTTTTATATAAGAATTAGTTTTTTTTTTTTTTATCCTTTTTAGAACTTTTGAACAGTTTTGGTTAAAACTCTTGTTATTCTGGAGTCAACGCAAGGTTTTGTTTGCCGACAACTTTTCTTTCCTGGTAATATTATGCTTTGTCAAAAATCTATTTCTGGTAATATTTTTTCAACAAAAATGTATAGCTGGTAATATTATTTTCAAAAACGTATTGCTGATAATATTTTTTTTCAAAAATATTTTGCTGGTAATATTTTTTTTTCTTCAAAAATTTATTTCTGGTAATAATTTTTTACCAAGTATTTCTGGTATAAAAACTTATTTTTACAATTTTACAATGCTTTTTATCTCAGTTTCGGGGTTAACTATATGCCCATAACTAGGACCCTAACAGGTGCTACCATCCTGGGTCAAGGTGGACCTGGGAACACCAGCAATTAAGAGGTGGTTCTACGCTCCTCAAAACCTCCTGATCAGAGGCCTTGCTGTTGGACGTAGTTTATCGTCTTACTCTGGACACGGATGTAGTTCATCGTCATACCCAGGAATGTCAAAGCGAGGTCGTAAATCTGTATGAGAAATCTCAGAATCTTTTTGAAGTGAAAATACATTGATATGGAAATTCTTACAAAAATCAGATAATTTTCAGATTTTTAGGCAGGGTTAAAAATATTGTCAAAAATATTTTTTTTATATCTGTTACTCTCAGGAAATTCTTTTTGTGTATCTGTGGGTGAATAGGTTTTTTTCTTATACACGCCGGCGGTCACCAAAATTATAGGGAATCACTCTTATCATAGCAGCAGAAATTAGCTTCGTATTCACAAAGATAAAAGCATACTTGACAGAAAATAAAACGTGTAGAAATAACAGGAAAACATGGTAAATTGTATGTTACTTTCATGCAATTTATTTATATTTTTGTGTGTATTGGTGTTTGTATATTTTAGGCTACAATTGTTTTATGGTACATATGATAAAAGGGAGAAATTTACTTCATAGTATTATAAGTCATGTCACAGAGAGAAGTTGGACACGTGTTGCCTGTACCAAGGTTTGTGGTGAAGAGATTGAATTTAACGTCTTTTGGCGGGATGTTCGTATCTCCGACAGGAACAGTTTTTGTTGCATGCTGTCAGAATTTTTATTATTTTTAATTTTTATTAATTTATATTATACAACGTTTTTATGCTATTGCTTTATTTTACTTTATTTATAATTTTCATTATCATTATTATTTCATATTTCATTTTTTATTTAATTATTTATTTATTTATAATAATAATAATAATAATAATAATAATAATAATAATAATCCTACATATCACTAAATGTTTGTTATAAGAAAATTCCTCGGAGAATTTAAATAATCAATTTTTTTTTGTCAAACTGGACTCCCAGTTACAGAAAGTCTGTTTTGAATTGTAAAATAAAAATGCAGTCAAGCTAAGACATTATTTAATTAGAAAAGCTTTTAATTGCTTTTACGTATAAGATCTATTATGGACCCTATTATCTTAAGAATTTTTTTTCAATGTTTGATGAAATTTTTTAAGAATTGTTTTTATTTTTCTTAAATCTTAATTAGAATAATTTATAAACATTTAAAATTCTGTATTAATAAAAGTAAGTAGGCCGCCGTCGTTCAGGGTTGACCTTGGGTAGCATCCTAGTTGCCTTCTTGGCTGGAGCATCGACGTCCGTGACTGTAGTGTCCGATGCGGGAGTGACAATCTCTGTTGTAGAGGTCGCATGTGTATTCTGTCTTTGGTTTGTTGGGGCTGTCACTTTGCTTTTTTGCCGGCCCGCCTTTCCATGGGAACTTGTGTCAGCTTCATCTCCCCTGACTTGAGGTGTTTGGTCAGGGTTCCTCTCCATTTGGCTTGTATGGCTGCTAGGCTCTCCCAGGACTCTGTGTTGATGTCCACAGCTTTCCTGTCGCGCCTCACGACATCGCGGTACCGCAGCTGTGGCCGCCCGGCGGATCTCCTTCCAGGGGCCAGCCCCCCCCCCCATACAGGAGGTTTTTATTAATGTGTAGCTGTCCAATGATATTGTTATTAATGTACTAATGTGTAGCTATCAAATGATATTGTTATTAAATCAAGACTTTATTTACTAATCATAAATAGAAAAGCTCACTACAATCCAACGACATCCAGTATTTAAAAATTAATTTTGAATTTATTTTACGTGTATGTATATGGATATCCATACACATTATTAGAAAATAAGCGTGGTAACTCTAGTAAATTTTTAAATTTATTGGTACTTTTCTAGGATTTCCTCGACAGGCATCTTCGTAAGTAAGACTATGAATCCAAAGTACCTAAAATTCAATAAAATATAAGAATCCGTAAAATGTTTCACATATTTAAGATTGCTGGGGATTTCAAAAATTATATAAAAGCGTCTTTACGTTGTATTCGTCATATAATTTTTCTAGTTACTGTCCCTCTCAGTTCAATTTCCCAAACACCAAGCTGTCGATAAATCACTCAACACAGAAAGCACGCATCTCCTTCTTTAAAAACATGCTTTTCTTTGTTATATTTAAAACGAAAGGCAAGTAATATTTGTTTCATTTAAGATGAATTAAACTTTAAATCAGCTACTTTTTTTTCCAAAAACGTTTCCTGCCCTGATTAAGACGATAAACAACATCCAACAGCAAAGCCTCTGATCAGGTGGTTTTGAGGAGCGTGGGAAAACATCTTAATTTCTGGTGTTTCCAGGTCCACCCTAACCTGGGGTGGTAGCACCTATTAGGATTCCAGTCCTGGGCAAATAGTTAACCCCCAAACTGGGGTCGAAATGTGTAAAAATAGGTTTTATTACCAGCAATACAGTCTTGTAAAAAATATTTTCTCAGCAATTAATTTTTGAAGAAAAAATTATTATCAGCAATACTTTTTTGGAAAAAAATATTACCAGCAATAAAAAATTGTTGGCATTAAGTAACACAATGAGGTTGATATGCCGTAAAACAAAATAAACCAAACCAATCTAAACCAAAGAGTACATATTCTATTCATACGAATCTATCCTAAAATGTTGTCGGCATTAAATAACCTATTGAGGTTGATATGCCGTAAAACAAAATAAACCAAACCAATCTAAACCAAAGAGTACATATTCTATTCATACGAATCTATCCTAAAAATGTTGTCGGCATTAAATAACCTATTGAGGTTGATATGCCGTAAAACAAAATAAACCAAACCAATCTAAACCAAAGAGTACATATTCTATTCATACGAATCTATCCTAAAAATGTTGTCGGCATTAAATAACCCATTGAGGTTGATATGCCGTAAAAACAAAATAAACCAAACCAATCTAAACCAAAGAGTACATATTCTATTCATACGAATCTATCCTAAAAATGTTGTCGGCATTAAATAACCTATTGAGGTTGATATGCCGTAAAACAAAATAAACCAAACGAATCTAAACCAAAGAATACATATTCTATTCACACGAATCTATCCTAAAAATGTTGTCGGCATTAAATAACACATTGAGGTTGATATGTCGTAAAACAAATTAAACTAAAACCGTTTCAGAAAAGTATATTTTATTTTTGAAAGATTTTTGTTTTAATAAAGAGAATTATGTTGTGTTGACAGATTTTTCAATATGGATGAATTCATAGATTTTACTGATAAGTAAAAATTATTCAGTATATATACAGTAAAAGCGGAAGTAATATTTATAAATGATGCAGAGTGCTTAATGTTAAAATGCATTTTAAACTGCATTTTTTGTAGGTACCGACACTAAATTTACATTAAATTTGGTTTTCGCTGCTTTTTCCTTTGAATTGAAAAGAGAAACACACCTTTACATCAGGGATTTACTTAAGTTTAATTTGCCAAAAGTGCGCTGTTTTGATGCACTGAATGGAAATCCAGTTGATCAATTTTGCAACTGCCGATTAAACATATTTATTAACCATTAGTCTAGGATTGGCATCAAAGCATATTTTTTATTTTATATGATACTTTTAAATTTGTGACGACATTTCATCGTTGAACTATTTTCGTAACAGAAAGTAAAAACAATTACATTAGCAATTTGTCCGTTTTGGATAATATCAACTATGAAAAATGGAGACTTTCATAAAAGTTTTGGCGGATTATTTACGACAGCCATTTTGAAAATGGGATTATGGCAAGTGAAGTGTAGCAAGATCTTGTCATTATTTCACCCAAATTAATTTATTTTATATTTTCAGAAAAGAACTTTTGCTCGGAACAGTACACGAAAGACAAACTAAAGAAATGTCTCAAGTTGCTTCACCCGACTCTAAAATTGACGCAGATTATCAACAACACCAAAGCCATGTGGACAGCCAATCAAATGACGTCAATTTGCAAGTATGCAGATGATTAACAGTTTTTGTTGTAATGTAGGGATAACTCTGAGTAGAGGTTTATAAAACTTTATCTGACTCATTGTGCTTTCGTGCTGAAAAACGGTTATTTTGATGGATGGTTACAAGCGAGAGTGAAGATGAGATGTGTTTATTTTATTACCAAATTTGTAGTGGAAAGATATTGTTAAAAATAAAAGATGAAAAACTTTTACAAATTTATTCATATTTTAAAATGTTCATAAAAAGAGTAGTATTGTTACATCGAAATAAGATGTGAAATATTGTCTGTCATTATGCGATCCAAATATCAAATGATTTCTCATTTCTATCTGTGTATGTTGATAAAGTTCCTATCTTTTACATCAGAGACTGTTAGATGAGATGTTAATATTTAGTGAACATTTTGGAGTCAACACATCTTCATTGTTGTTTTTATCAGAGACTTTCAGATGAGTTGTTTTTAATAATCAATGAAATTTTTGGACTATCCTCATCTTTGTTTTTTTTTTTGTCAGAGACTTACAACTGCGTTGATGAATTTTAATGTCATTTTTCTTATTTATTTCTCATTTACATTTCTAGAAATTTACAGCGATTCATGCGTTGCGCAGACCACATATTCGAAAACTGTGAAATTCCGCGGATGAAGACAGTCAGTAAAGTGGTGGAAAGCGTCTTTAGTTACGTCTGTCGCGTGGGACTGGAAAGTAAGAACTATTTTCATTGAAGGTTAATCTGCAGTATAAGCACCAAAAGCACCCGGTAATGAAAATGTTCCATTATTGTGTGAAATTTCCTGATTATTTCGAAAATGACATTAAAATTACCATTTGGGAGTTAACACGTTGTCCTACAGCCATTACTAGCGTTGTTTACATACATTTGCCTCGAATATTAATGCACGGAAGCTTACTTAGCTAACGGCCTTTTTACTGCTTTTCATATTTTCTTACTCGTCTTGATTACTGCGCAATTTTCGCGAAAGTTATTTTAAAATGCACTTTTTTTTTTAATGAAGCTTTAAATGAATAGTTTTTTAAATAGGTATAAATTCCTTTTTTCCAACTAAAAGAATTGTTTTTTTTTTGTAGAAGTGAGGCTTTATTAAATAATGAATTTTTTTTTCTGGTTTAAATTTATTATAGAAACAATTGATTTACTTTTCAGTTTTCCAGGCCCGTAATTTCTATTTTATTTCAAATGTCGGATTTTAAGTAAACTTTTACGACACAATTAAAAAAAAAAAAACATTGTTAAAAAAAAAAAAAAAGGATTTTACTTTTTCGTTTTTTCATTTTTACTGCTATATTTCGAATCGCGCATTCATTTTAAACTTCGCACATTGCGCAGTAATCAAGACAAGTGAAGCTTCCGCGCATGACTACTCGAAGCAAACGTATGTAAACAAAGCCAGTAATGGTGGTCGTTCTGTCAACTTACATTGCCCATAACGTCTAAACATTAATAGAGCGCGAACTTTTAATGTCATTTTCGAAATAATCGGGCATTTCACATCATAATGGAACATTGTCATTACCGTGGCCTTTTGGTATTGATACTGCAAATTAACCGTTGTTTCTTTTAAGAAGGAGCCTATATTTGTGTGTGCAGGGTTATTTAATGCAAAGTGTTTACACTTACGTAAAAAGGAGTTACTATCTATTTGCAGACTCTGATATAAACTTCACGGATATATACCTTTTTGACTCTAATGTAAAGTACATCAGACTTCATTGTTGTGTTTGTCTTATAAGACGCAAGAGGATTACTGAACGTGAGAGAATATAAAAACAACAACAAAAAGAAAAAAAAACATTATTAATGAGAGAGAACAATAAAAGAACATGAATTATGAAGACAGAAGATAATGATTGCAGTTGCATTTAAATTTTTGAAGATCAAATTTGAGTGGGAAGGAAAAAGCCGGAAGATCAAAGTTGACTGGGAAGCAAGATGCCGGAAGTGAGTTCCACTGGTGATAAGTGTGATAGAAGAAACTGTTAGCATAGAACTTACGGTTACATCTAGTAATTTTAGCTCAGGTGATGACATCTTGCGGCCAATCTAGCACTGTATTAAATTTATAAAGTCTAGATACCATAGAGAAAATTTCATCAAAGAAATCAAAAAGTATTTATAGAAAAAGCCACAGGGAATCTACATAGAAAAGTGACAGAAAAGTGACTGAAGCCGAAATGCCAGGTCAGGACCAATACCATTGCATATTCTTCTTTAGATTTGATCAAGAATCTCTAAATAGCAGATTTGGCAGCAATATTCAAAACTTGGGTGAATGGTAGATTTATAGATGTGAGAAAAATTGTTTTGCAAGACACAGTGAATTAACTTTTCTTGTAGCAGAACTAGCAATAGATTCAATATAATCTTTTTACTGCATGTAATCAGAAAACGTTAGTTCAAGAATGCACAATGGGTCATTTTCCCGGGCGTTAGTATCAGAAAACAATTTCATTTTGGAGGTGTTAACAATTAATAAGCCATTCCTTGTTAACTGATTGTAAGTCATTTTTGAGACCACCTGCCAATTTAACTTCATCGAACCGAGTAAATAGTTGTATCATCAAATATAGATACCGAGTTGAGAACTGACGACACCAGGAAAGTCGTTGAAAATTAGGAACGACACAGGTTCAAGGATAGAGCCCTAGTGAACAACTGCATTTATGCAAAAAGATCTAGAAGCGTGGCCATTCAAGACAACTTTCATTTCTTGATGTGATAAGAAAGACTGAATCAAAAGAATTCGCCCAGAAACACCATAACCTTTGAACTTTTGAAGAACACCAGTATGCCAAACTCTGTCGAATGCCTTCGAGATATCAAAAACAACAGCACGAGCTTCACCATCCTTATCTAAAACTTGATAGACTCTTTCAACAATAATTATTAATACATCAGCAGTTAACCTTGAGAAGCGAAAGCCATATTGCTTGTCTGAAAGTAGACCTTGCGAGGTGAGATGCTCAACCAATTCAGAGTTGATTAGAGACTCTAGTACCTTATCAAAAAGAGGGCTAATAGGCCGGTAGATGGGTCAGACTGAAACTACAGAAGAGGTTTTCCAATAAGCAGGAAAGTGAGTAACAGCAAGGCATTTATTCTAGAGTTTAGAGAGATCAGGATCCACTTCAGGAGCACATTTCTTAAGGACTATTGCAGGGACACCATCAAGTCCACAGGCTTTATGAGGATCCCGTTTAGAGTTACACCATTCTCGATTTTTGAACAAACATTTTCCTTTCATCTTAAATTTAGTTGTTTTCATCTCAATTCCTTAGATCATCATTCTATGACCGTGAAAAAACAACGTGGATCTCAAATGAAAATAAGTCACATCAATGGAAAGACTTCCAAACAAGAAATCTACTTCGACATTTAATAAGTTTAATTTTGTCTCGTGCCAGAAAAATACTCACTACTTTAGCGAATGTCTTCCTCAGTCAGATTGCTAAACCTCGCTCTAGGGTAAGCTCTATAGAAACTAAATGCTGTTTTTAAATTCCAGATCAGTTTTGGTGAAAACTGCTAATGAATTTGTCGTTCTTATCTTTTGTTAGCCTACGTCAGAGTTCAATCTTGTCTGGAAAGAGAGAAATCAACCAAGAATACGATACAACAGTGCGTGAAACATGTTTTAGATATCAATCCAAAAGACTTCTACGAAAATGGAAAATATGACGAGAAGAAATTGTGCAAGTAAGAAATTCTTTGATTTCTTTTATTTCACCAAAGGCGGCCGTTATGCTCGATGTCATTTCCAATTAATAGAATTTATATAAATATTTGAAAATAAGGGGAGCCTATTCTGCAATTAGCAGTTAAATTAGATGTCTGTATAAAAAGTACGTTATTTTTTAGAAGATACTCA